TCCCATTGAATGGATGTACTATCATTTATTTATCTATTCACAAGTTGATGCTCATTGGTGTTGATGGGACTTTTTTGTTTTTAAAATTAATCAGCCGTTATTTTTATTTTTTTAATATTATTTTTTATTTTATTTTATTTTATTTTTTGATTTAATGTTCCATGATTCATTGTTTGCATATAACACCCAGTATTCATTGCAATATGTGCCCTCCTTAATACCCATCACTGGGCTAACCCATGCCCCACCCCCGTCCTCTTTGTAACCCTCAGTTTGTTTCTCAGAGTCCATAGTCTCTCATGGTTCATCTCTCCCTCCGATTCCCCCCCTTCATTTTTCCCTTCCTTCTCCCAATGTCCTCCATGCTATTCTTTATGTTCCACAAATAAGTGAAACCATATGATAATTGTCTTTCTCTGCTTGACTTATTTCACTTAGCATAATCCCCTCCAGTTCCATCCATGTCGATGCAAATAATGGGTATTCATCCTTTCTGATGGCTGAGTAATATTCCATTGTATATATGGACCACATCTTCTTTAGCCATTCGTCTGTCGAAGGGCATCTCGGCTCTTCCCACAGTTGGGCTATTGCGGACATTGCCGTTATGAACACTGGGGTGCATGTGCCCCTCTTTTCACTACATCTGTATCTTTGGAGTCAATACCCGGTAGTATAATTGCTGGGTCATAGGGTAGCTCTATTTTTAACTTTTTGAGGCACCTCCATACTGTTTTCCAGAGTGGCTTTACCAGATTGCATTCCCACCAACAGTGTAAGAGGGCTCCCCTTTCTCCACATCCTCTCCAACATTTGTTGTTTCCTGCCTTGTTAATTTTTGCCATTCTAACTGGTGCAAGGTGGTATCTCAATGTGGTTTTGATTTGAATTTCTCTGATGGCTAATGATGTTGAACATTTTTTCATGTATCTGTTAGCCATTCATATGTCTTCTTTGGAGAAGTGTCTGTTCATGTCTTCTGTCCATTTTTTGATTTGATTATTTGTTTTTTGGGTGTTGAGTTTGAGAAGTTCTTTATAGATCTTGGATACGAGCTCTTTATCTGTAGTGTCATTTGCAAGTATCTTCTCCCATTCTGTGGGTTGCCTTTGTTTTGCGGACTGTTTCCTTTGCTGTGCAGAAGCTTTTTATCTTGATGAAGTCCCAAAGGTTCATTTTCATTTTTGTTTCCCTTGCCTTTGGGGGCATGTCTTGAAAGAAGTTGCTGTGGCTGATGTCGAGGAGGTTACTGCTTGTGTTCTCCTCTAGGATTTTGATGGATTCCTATCTCACATTGAGGTCTTTCATCCATTTAGAGTTTATCTTTGGGTATGGTGTAAGTTTCATTCTTCTGTATATAGCTGTCCAATTTTCCCAGCACCATTTATTGAAGAGACTGTCTTTTTTCCATTGGATATTTTTTCCTGGTTTGTCGAAGATTAGTTGCTATTAAGCTTCATTGGCTTGCCTGCTTGCTATGGGGTTCTGTTTGTTTGTTTTGAACACTTGGGTTTGTGCTGGTGAGTTTTACATCGTGCATTACCACAGTTGCCCCAGTGTTCAGCTGCAACGGGGTTGCTCAGGAATTCTTGATCTGCCTGGTGACCTATTGACTAAACTAGTTTGGGGTCCACTGGTTCATAAAAAGCCCAGCTCTGCCGAAACCATCAGGCTTGGAGTCGCCTCTGCCTGGAACTCCAGCCCCATTCCCTCTGTCTAAAAGAGCACCGTGAGCCACTTGGTTGTCACTCTGGAGAACAACGGAACTTGATGTAACTACATCAGAACCACTCTGAACACACATTTAAATTCTCCAACCCAATGATATGCACTTTGCTAGAAAAATAAAGCCAGACCCTGCATTTCTTGAACAGCATGGTCCCAAAGGCAAGTTGACCACTTCATCTGGTGCTCGAGAGAAGAAACAGCTAGGTCCTTATTCCCGGAGATAAAAGTGTCTGAGTGGAAGACGCTTAGGAAGAGTCTGTACAGTATTCCCCCAAATTGTGTGTTTTGTACTTTATGGGAGACTTAAGGGATTTTTAAGGGTGACATTGACCATGCAGGAGTTTCACGTTATGCGCTGGCTTGATAGAAGATGCCATTCTACCCAGAGCCCTTTCATTTATAAACATGCTTAGGGTTTTATTATTTTGTTTGACCCTCACACCGACCCCATGCACAAACAGGTCAACTACTGGTATTCCATCTTGCAAATGGGGATGCTGAAACACAGAGTAAACACCATGGCCAGGACGAGGGAGAGCAAGTGACAGGTCATTCCAAGTGGGATCCCGTCTTTTTTTAATTTTGCTCATCATGGGCTTTTGGCATTAACTTTGATTTTTAAATTATTGTGTTAGAATGTTACTTACCTTGATTACTGAATCTTTTGCACCCCAAGCTAGTGCATTAATTGCCTTATTCTAGTCCCAGCCCTGGAGGCTGGATGGATTAGGCTGGATCCTGTGAAGTATCCATTTATTGCATGTCAAGAAGGGATGAATATCAGTAATTGTGTATAATTCAACCTAATGGATCCTTCCAGAAAGGAGTCCTGAGGGTCCCCACAGGTCTCTGTGCTACATGTAACTGCTTCATTCTTCTGTGCAGAGGTCCTCAGCCAGGTTGCACATTTTAACCAGCCTTGGGGCTTTTATAAAAACTAGAATCTCAGGCTGGAGGGGAGAAATGGTAGGGGTGTTTCAAAAAAACTCCTCCAGTGTGAACCTCTAGATTACAGCGTGTGGATCAAACTAGGTTTAAATGAGGCTGTAGGGACCCAGTATCCTGGATTTACATTCTGGCGGCATCACTTTCTAATCACAAGATCTGAGGCTAGTTACAGGTTGTTGCAAGTGGTGAGTAATGTATGTAAGTGTCCAGCACAGTGCTTGATACCTAATAAATCCTGGATACTGGGTAATGGTTCTAGGAGCTATTACTTTGTGCCAAGGCCCAGAGAAGTGAAGTAAGACACCCCAGTTCACCCAGCAAGTTCCTGAAAGAGTTGGGTTTGTGGCCCAGGTCTGTCTGGCCCGATATCTAGCACCAAAGCAACCACATTTGATGTCCACTAAATGTTCGGTCCAAGGCCAGCGGCCCTCGGTCACTAGCCCACAGCGTTTCCAATGAGCCCCCACCCCACTGTCATGGATGAGGACGGCCCTTGGCCAGAGCTGAGGTGCACGGGCAGAGAGAGGAGGCACAGTGGCCTAAGAGAGCAGGTCCCTGTCCCAGGGAGATTCCCCTCCCACGGGGATAGCCCCTGCAGCCTCTATTACCTCAAAGGCCCACACTTCTGCTTAGCGCTGCCAGCCACTTTCATTTCCTCACCTCCAATTCCTTTAACCTTTTGTGTGCTGGCTTCTCCTCCTAGCACCTCAGCCCATGGCAGGGACTTCCTGAATGTTGAAACTGTGGGCGCCACGGGGGACCTCTGCCTTGGGGACACCGCCAGTCACTCTTTTTCCTGAGCTTCTTGCCCTTTCTGCTTTCTGCCACACCACAGACCAAACAAAGTGAGCGAGCGGGGCCCAGCCTCCTCCCTGGCCACCTCTCCTCACCTCTCAGGTTTCAAACAGCCCCAAAGTCTCGTGGCTCCTGCACCCTGAAACCCTGCCTGGGAGGCTGCACTTGCCACCTTTCCTGCCTCCAAGGCCCCCCGGCCCCATCACGCTCTCCAGGCAGACCCTCCGGTCCTCCCTTGAACCCAGAGCTGATCAGCAAGTTTTCTGGGGGTGTTCCCACCCCTGGTCCCGCTGCCTCCAGGTCACTTCCAGCCTCTCACGTGACAGCAAGTTTCTAGAATTCAGTTGTATCCACATCCAGCCCGCGAACCAGACTGGGAGCTTCTTTAAGGCAAAAACCGTTGTCTTCATCTTCCCAGAAACCAGGATGCTCACAACATCTCTAGTGATGGAAGCCACGTGACCTCAGTGCCCGCAGCCCGCCAGGAGCCATCCTAACCACCACCAGATGTGATCTAATTCATTTGGCCAATGCAACAAATAACCCCGTCTCCCTTTTTTGAGAAACAAGGAAATCGAGGCGCCGAGAGCTCACGTGATGTTTCTACGGTCGTACAGCTGCTGTATGGAGCAAGTAGAATTTGAACCCAAGCACCTCAGTTTGTAGGGTCTGTGTGCTCACCACCACACTATGCGTCCTTTCTGGTAAGGAATGCCTGACAAAAAGGAGCTAGAGGGGGTTTGTCCCCTCAAGGAGCTCAGGTCTTGCGGGGCCAGAGCAAGCACGCATGTGCCCCCACACACGGGGCCTGGGGAGATAGGCACGGAAGTGTAAGTAGATGCTACAGCGTGTGGTACAGAGCAGTGCTTCTCCATTGCCTACATTCATCACCTGGAAAGCTAGTTAAACTGTAGATTTGGATTCACGTGGGATGGGACATGGGACTCTGCATTCCTCACAAGATCCCAGGCGATGCGGATACTGCTGTCGAAGGTCCACACTTTGAGGAGAAAAGATGAACCCTAAGGCCGAAGTGGGTCAGAGGAGGGAGATTTCAGTGTGAACCACAGAGGTCCTAAGACAGTGCCCTGGGTCTGGGATGATAGTGGCCCTTGGATGGGCAGAGGGCAGGGAGAGAAACATCCTCCCTGGGGTCACCCAACTCCCTGCTCTCAGGGGCCCGGGAGTGAGGGCTGGATCCAAGGATCTGTGACTTATGCCCCAAAGCGTGAGTCACTTCCCTTAACAAGCAGCTGTGCCGAATAGGAGCTCCGTGTGTGAATAACCTGTTTTTGTGACATGCCCAATTCTGATCATGTCAGGAAACATTTTGCAAATTCAGAAGTCGGAGCCAAAGGGAAGTGCTGTGTGGTCTGAAGCTAGCTGCAGTAGTTAAATGAGAACAATCTTTCCCCAAGTGGTTCCTCTTGAGGACAGCATTTCTGCTGGCTCCAGGACTTTGGGCCATCTATAAAGCTTCACAATGGAAAATAAAGAAATTCTCAAGGTGGAAGGGTTCTTGGCTAGCACTGGAGAAAGAGCAGCCGTCAACCAAACCATGTTCCCTGCAATGGAGGCCTTTGAAATCAATGGTAAAGTACTGCTTCTCAGTAATGACATTGCCTGGTGGTGTACTTTTTCTGTTGGCAACATAGGAACAGACAAGGCGATAGGAAGCCTAGGTTTGTGCCATAGACTCTCACTAACACATTTCTGGAATGCTTCAATCTGGGATTCATGTAATGTTAGTAATAGATGCTGTATCTGTAGTATACAGTTGGGTTGTTTTTTTCCCCCAATAAATTGTATTGAAATATTTACCCTTCGATGAATGCTAATACTTATCATACGCCCTTCCTTTTTATTAGTCTTATTTTGACACCCAGATTGTGTGACAAAATGGCAAAGCAACACAACGGGGATGAAAAAGTTCCACAAAATGAAAGCCAAGTGCCACATATTTATTTAATGTAATTCCTTTAAAATTCTTTAAGGTGACTTCCATTATAACTGATGTGTTGATCAGGGAGTGCTTTCTCCAGTTTGCGCTGGCTAGGGTATGTTAATAGCTTCATAATTAGTTTGTCTTAGATTCAATTCAGGTTTTAAAAATTCAGGCAACTCTGTCATCTTTATTTTTCTCCCTCATCCTTCTACAGGTGGTGCATTTTTTAAATCTTCTAGAATTTAAAGTCGCCAGTGAGTGTTTTCCACGGGGGATCTCTGATTTCCCGTGCTAGAATATCTTCTAGGACTTGCCTTCCAAGTTGATGAGTCATTCCTACTCCTAGTCTTTTCTGGAAGTCATCTGTTCAGAACAATTGCAGTTCTGTCCCCCAGCCTGATCTGTCCCTCTCACCCCGTATTTGTGCGGGTCACTGGCTGGAACTGAAGGGGGTACAAAGATGCAGGGTTGAGTGTTCTGCCTTTAGGAATTCACAGTGTGATAACAGAATGCGTGCGTGCAAATGACTTTACTAATTGTTGGCTATTCAGAACTTTGGGGAATGCAGCATTCTGGATATATGACTTTTTATGTTACTGAAAATGTGCAAGTAAAGTCAGCTGATCAAACATATTCAGCACCTACTGGGCACTGCTCTTGGCACTGAGGAAACATACAAGAATAAACAGGGAGTCCTCAGTCATGTCGGTGGTGGCAGGAGGATGGCAGGGTTGGGCCATCTATAAACTATCTCTATACAAGCACAGGACAGATCTATGGACAGATCTAACCTGGTCTGACCTGGAGGTCAGAAGTGAGACCTCTTCTAAAGTTTAAAGAATAAAGGGAAATAGTGAAATAAGAGGCTGGCTGGGGCAGCAATAGAAGACCACGGGTTTATGCTATATTCATAGGTACTATTTAGAGAAATACAGATAGTTTCATGCGGTGGGGCCAATGTTGAGTGGGGAAAGTTCGGTGGGGATTGAGATTAGGACCAATTAATTTAGACTTTGTCCTGAAGACAATGCGGAGCTTTGAATGTTTGACTTTGGGCTAAGAGGCATTGGTTTGCTGTTGAGATTACTCGCTATCATAGATGTGGAATGAGCTAGAAAGAGTCTGAGGACAGAAAGAAGCATGGCAGCAAGAGACAATAAGAGGCAGTGGTTATAAGGAATGTTCTGGAAAGATATTAGAAGTCAAGTCAGTAAGACTATAATGGTGGGAAAGGCAAGTGAGGTGGAGGCCAGCTTAAGGGGGAATTCCAGATTTCTGACTTGGGTTATGGATACCATTAACTAAAAATCTAACCAAAAAACAAAACAGTTTGGTTAGAAGGAACATTTCTTTCTTTCTTTCTTTCTTTCTTTCTTTCTTTCTTTCTTTCTTTCTTTCTTTCTTTCTTTCTTTCTTTCTTTCTTTCTTTCTTTC